AAATAAAAGAAGAAAAGAAGCCAGACAGTAAGCAGAGGCCAAAAGTGGAGGATGAGTAGCTCAATTAGTCATAAAACACATTAATTTATCTAGTTTTTTAGGAAATGCAACACAAATGTTCTGCTAAACATTTGTTCTGCTTTTCTGTCTGTTAAATCTGACGAGGCCTCGTTTAAATTTACAATATTAGCAGCATTATCTTCATTACAGTTATTTTCTTTACGTTTTTTGGTCTTTTCAGATGCTTTTTGGGGTTTTTTTGTCAAACAAATCACTAAAACCCTTCATTTTCTCTCCAGCTTTGATAAAACTAGAAACAGAAGTTTGATCAGTGTCTTTTATGCCTGTTAAGTCTGATAAACCTCATTTAAAGTTCCAATATTAGCATCATTAGCTTCAATAGAATTATTTTCTTTAAGATTTTTTGCTGCATTTTGGTCTTTTTGGTCTTTTTTTGCCACGAAAATCACTAAAACCCTTCATTTTCTCTCCAGTTTTGATTAAAAAAAGACATAGACTAGTGTCTTTTCTGAGTGTTAGCTTAATTAGAGTTCTTCACTTTTAGCTTTTTAGTTGCTTTTCTGCCTTTTTTTTGCCACACAAATCAATAAAACCTTTAATTTTCTCTCCAGCTTTGATAAAACTAGAAACAGAAGTTTGATCAGTGTCTTTTCTGCCTGTTAAGTCTGATAAACCTCATTTAAATTTCCAATATTAACACCATTAGCTTCATTACAGTTATTTTCTTTAAGCTTTTTGGCTGCTTTTTGGTCTTTTTCTTTACCATGTGAGTCACTAAAACCCTTAATCTTTCCTCCAGTTTTGATTAAAAACAGACATAGACTACCTTAGTGTCTTTTCTGCGTGTTAGCTTAATAAGAGTTCTTCTCTTTAAGCTTTTTAGTTGCTTTTCTGCCTTTTTTTGGCACACAAATACACAAATCACTAAAACCCTTCATTTTTTTGTCTGGATTTTATAAAACCAGACACAGAAATTTGATCAGTGTCTTTTCTGCCTGTTAAGTCTGATAAACCTCATTTAAATTTCCAATATTAGCACCATTAGCTTCATTACAGTTATTTTCTTTAAGCTTTTTGGCTGCTTTATGGTCTTTTTCTTTACCATATGAATCACTAAAACCCTTCATTTTCTCCCCAGTTTGATTAAACCAGACACAGAAGTTGGAGTCTTTTCTTGTTAAATCTGATGTGGTGAAGCTTTAATTAGCTTTAATGGATCTGATTCCTCTGAGAGCTGCTGGCTGCTGGACGCCTGCTGATTTCTGATTTATTTTGACGTTTAAAACTCAGACGGTGACGTTTTTAGTCTGGTTTTTAAACCAGAGGCTAATTAAAGTGACACGATCCGAGCTTTTAGTGGAATTAAATCATTAAACGAAGCTGCTAACTTAGCAACCTCCTCAAACTCTGTAAATAAAACATAAAAAAATCAGTTAAAGGAACGTAAAAAACTCTGTTTAAGGAACTTAAAGAACTCTGTTTAAGGAACGTAAAAAATTCTGTTTAAGGAACGTAAAAAACTAATTTTAAGGAACTTTAAGTAACGTAAAAAATCTCAGTTTAAGGAATTTTAAGGAACGTAAAAAACTATATTAAAGGAACGTAAAAAAACTATATTTAAGAAACGTAAAAAACTATATTTAAGGAACGTAAAAAACTCAGTTTAAGGAACGTAAAAAACTCAGTTTAAGGAACGTAAAAAACTCAGTTTAAGGAACGTAAAAAACTCAGTTTAACGAACGTAAAAATCTCAGTTTAAGGGACGTAAAAATCTCAGTTTAAGGAACGTAAAAAACTATATTAAAGGAACGTAAAAAACAAACAGTTTAAGGGTTGTAAAAAACTCAGTTTAAGGAACTTTAAGGGACGTAAGAAACTCGGTTTAAGGTTCTTTAAGGGACGTAAAAAACTCTGTTTACGGGGGTAAATATCTCAGTTTAAGGAACGTAAATACTCTGTTTACGGGGGTAAATATCTCAGTTTAAGGAACGTAAAAAACTCAGTTTAAGGAGCTTTAAGGAATGTAAATACCCTGTTTACGGGGGTAAATATCTCAGTTTAAGGAACGTAAATACTCTGTTTATGGGGGTAAATATCTCAGTTTAAGGACCTTAAATACTCCGTTTACGGGGGTAAATATCTCAGTTTAAGGAACGTAAATACCCTGTTTACGGGGGTAAATATCTCAGTTTAAGGAACGTAAATACTCTGTTTATGGGGATAAATATCTCAGTTTAAGGACCTTAAATACTCAGTCTAAACCAGTGTTTTTCAACCTTTTTTGAGCCAAGGTACATTTTTTCATTGAAAAAATCACGAGGCACACCACCAACCAAAAATGTGTCCGCCTATAGTAACACTATAGTTATTCTTATCTTATCTTAAGTGTCTTGAATAGGAATAAAAAAAACAGAAAATTTAAATTTAATCATATCTTATATTTCTTCTTTCAAATTGCACTTAACATGTCCACTTCAATATACAAAATTAAATACAAAATCTAGTCATAAGGAATTATTACATGATTACTCCACCAGTCACTAGAACAGCACACACACTCAAAAAT